TGTGTACTTTTGCACTTAACACACTTATTGTTGGGCACATTTTCTTATTCTGTTTACCGCTGCCTTCGGCTTCTGCTATTCGTGTTTTCTTTTTTCTTGTTCTTTAACTTTAAGATTTGCCTTTTCCTTTTTCTTTTACGTTTTTTTTTCTCATTTTGGTTTCTTTGTCTTTGTGTTTCATTTCATTTGTGTTCTGCAGCCGCCCCCTTGTCTCGCCGCAGAGTGTATCGCATCTCCTGCCTCCCCATCCAACATCCCCCAACAAAAAGTCGTCGTTATTGTGTTCTCACACACACATATACACACGCACAAACACCCACAAGAAAACACTAACAGTTAAGCACACACACACACACACAGACACACACACACACATGGCGAATACGTAATAACCTTGTAACCAAAATGTTGTTATTTCGGGCCACATTTCTCTCTGCGAGCATGAGAGTGTGTGTGTGTATGTGTGAGCCGTTTTTTTATTTCGCTCTGGGTATGTGTGTGTGTGTGTGTGTTTGTGTGTGTGAGTTTGTGTTTGGGCCAAAGTTCTTGGCATTATTTGAAGAGTACTGCGAGTCACTTTACGTGCTCACCTACTCTCTTTCTCTCTCTCTCCTAGTTATCTGTATTTCTCTCTCCCTCTCCCTCTGTCTCTCTCTCCCTCTCTCTCTCTCTCTCTCTGTCTCTCCCTCTCTCTTACTCTATTGCGTTTGCTCTCTCTATCTGCCTTTCGCTGACTCTTTTGCTATATGTGGGTTGGCATAATTTCTAAATTTATACTTTAAACGTGCTTTTATTACAACTATATATATCTTATCAAGATTTTTCTTAAATGTTGGTGTTTATTGTCGTGCGTTTTAAATTAAATGTTTTTCATACCTTTTTCGTATGTTATTTTCCTAAAATAATTCCTTTTATATGTCACAAATAACTGAAAAGCAGCAGTTCTTTATATTTTCAACTGAAGCAATTTGATATTCCACGTTTCAAGCTACTATTTTTTACTTTAATTATAGACTTTGTATTTCGATTTCGATTTCAATTTAAAGTAAGTCCCAAAGTTTCAAACTTTCTCTATTCATTTTTGATATTTATTATTATCTATTTCCAAACATAAATTTTCAAAACACATAATAAAAAGCATACTTTTTTGCAGTACTTTCGTCTTGATAAGAAACTAGTTAAGAATCATTCAAATTCAAAGTCCATCTCTTTATATTATAGTATTAATGATACTATGTAGACGTAAATCACAAGCTTTCCAATTTAATAACAATCTGACTGTCTTAGTCAACAACATTTTAGAATATCTTCCTTAACTTGAGTTTTTAATTACAATATATTTAGAAGAGTGTTAACTATAGAAAGTTTTGGGTTATATCAAAAGCATATCTGACTACGATGATTATATTTCAAACTCAAATTCTTCAACCATATCTTGATGGACAGGATAGAGGTTTCAGTGTACTAAATCTTAATTTCATTGTTAAAAAACCAGACAACAAATTGAATTTGCTAGTTAGGTGAAAAGTTTTCGTAAATTAGTTTCCTTGTCAATCGCTTAAGAGATCTGTTGCTGTTTTTAGTTTACTCCTAGCACCTTTTCTTTCACCTGAATTCAATTACTATTACTTAGTGCTATATTTTGTTCTTACACTTTTTAAATCTTTTGAATTTTTTATTAGCATTGTACGGAACGCTGTTTGAATTTAACATTTTATTCTTGCCGTTACATAATCAAAAAGTAATATATATATACTTAAACTTTAAACACAAACACAAAGCAATCTAAACAATGACAACCAAAACAAAACAAGAACAAAAAAATATATTAAAAAAAGATAAACTAAAACAAAAATTTTAAAATTATTTAAAGCAATTAATAAACTATTAGTGAACTGTGATTTATTTTAGCATACAAGAATAATTCTTTTGTCATTTTATTGCCAAAAGATGCAGATTTTTTCACGAAACTTATCGATTGTAATGGCTCCAATAATTGGCTTTTTTATATGCAAAAGTAAAAGAAACCGAATACAACAAAAAAAGAAATACTAAAAAAAAAACAATAAGAACACTTTAAACGTTTAAATGCAAACGATTTTAAAAGCGAGATACTTGTATTTGTTTCCAGAATTGATCATTTTCAATTACATAACATCTATAAATCATATTTTGTTGTTGTTCTAAAAGCAAACACAAAACGAAGCAAAACAATAGAATATGCAAATGACCAAAAAGGTTATAAACCAAACAAATTTTAAAACCAACCAAAAAAATTTAAACCGTATGCAACTATTTACAATATGCTTTTGTAATATTTTCGCACCAATAAAAAAGAAAAAAACCAAAATCTGAGTACTGCAAAAATATCAAAACAAAAAAGTCAAAAGCTAGACGGGCTCTAAAAAAGAAAAAGAAAGAAAAAGTTAAATCAAAAACAGAAACAGAAAAAAAAAACAAAATGTAGGCAAGGAAACTACTGACAAATCTCATTGACGATAAAATGATAAAACAATTATGACGTGTATATACTTACAATACGTACCTATCTATCTATATATATATATTAAAAATATATACATATATATTAATATATACAATTCTCTCTATCTCTCTGTCGCTCTATTACTATATATGTAACCAGCATATATATATTTAAATATATATATATGTATATATATTTATGTATAACATCTATCCAAAATATGTTGTTTTTATTGAGTTACTTTGCTTACCAAAACTGTGCCCCAACACGAGCACAACAACAACTATAACTACAACTACAACTACAGCTACATCATCAACAACAACAACAGACGAACCATCTAAATTTTAACTACCCTCAAAACAATAAACAATTGTTTATCCATTGTGATAACTACTACCCCCACCCACCAAAATACTGACTGGCCGCCTGTTGCAGCTACTTACGTTAAAATATATTACTTTTTGGTTTTGTAAATAACTGTTCAAGAACGCGAATATCAACTGCATTGCAATCCAAATTGAACTCCAAATTGAATTTTGAAATTTAAAACTAACGCAGACCAAGCAAACAACAAGTCACACACACAAAACAAAACCCACACACATCACACCCACAAAAGTACACCACTCGTTGGGTTGTAGCACACTCACACAACCACACGCATACATAGCCAACCACAACAACACCAACAAATACAAGTTCCGGCATTCCATTTGAAAGTCAGCCGCAATAAACCAACTTGCGCTCAAATTCAATCAAAATACTAAACTCTCTCAATCTCCCTCTCTTTCACATACTCTCTACCTGCCACTATCTATTGCTGTCTATCTTCTATATATATCTCTATATCTCTATCTCTCTCTCTCTCTCTCTCTCTCTAACTCTGTCTGTCTTTGTTACACTCACTGTCTGTCTAAAAACTCTACTCAATTACTCAATAATATATGATATATATATACATATATATATATATATATTTTGTTTGTTTTCACATAAAAAAACATAAGACACAAAAATACCAAAAATATACAGAAACAATTAATTGTTTACAATATACTTTTGCACGTTATTTCTGTAATGCATCTGAACTATATATTGTTATAAGTAATTTATGTTTCTTTCCTGCGTACAAGCAAATACCAAATACCAAATACCAAATACAACGATATACCAAAAATACATAAGTACCAAAATACCGATACAAAACGAAATCAGAATCCAAGTGCATTTGTATGCCTCGCCACACATGTCGTATACGCAATATCCACTAACTAACTAACCCAAAATCAAATCAACAGCGACCACAAGACTCACACACACATTAAGGAATTCACACACACACACACACACAAACACACATGCCCACTAGCCCGAAGTAATGGGCGTAATGCACGTGAGCGTGCTACACACACCTACACCTACCCACACACATCCACACAACCACACACACACACACACACCCACACACCCACACATACTGAAGTGACCCCAGCCGCATGGCTCTCTTAAAGTGACACACATTTCATGTTGCAAAACCGCCCGTCCACCGCCTGCCCAACAACACTGCCCGACCTCCACACGCTCTCTCTCTCCCTCGCTCTCTCTCTTTCTCTCTCTCTCTCTCTCTCTCTCTCTCTGTCTGTCTCTCCCTCTCTTTCAATACACCCCTTGTTGAACTTTTAGGTGCAGCTTGCCAAAAAAAGAAAAAAGAAAAAACATAATAATAAATATTAACTAACGAAAGAAAAAATTTCTTAAGAAATTAAGCAAAGCTAAACTACAATTAAAGAGAGTTCACAATTTATTAAAAAAAAAACAAAAGAAGACAAACTGAAACTGAAAAAGAAAAAAGAAAAAGAGAAATTAATTTTATTACAAAACCTTATTGTAAATTAAGCGCAAAGAAACAAAAGTGTTGAACATTTTTTGAATTAAGTAACAAAATTGAGCAAACAAAACTTGTAGAAAAACAACAAAAGTCAGAAAAATGAAATGAAATGAAAACAAATTTTTACGTACAAATATGGGGCCAAAATAGTCCGTAAGTGTTCGGGCAAAAATCGCTTTGGTTAATTGTTGAAAAATATACAAAATGTGCAGAAGAATAACTTGTTGTTAACATAATATACAAAAACAAAAATCATATAAGTATAATAAACTTAGATATACTATATATAAAACGTGCCTAAATTGTAGCCAACTTATGATTTAATACAACTTGTGTGTAAGAAGGACAACGCAGAAACAAATCCACGTAACAATTTACAAAAACAATACCCAAAAAATTCACACCAAAAAGAAAACAGCAACAACAAAAAAATGAGTATAAATCTAAATAATAATACAAAATAAATATAAATATATATAAAAACAACAACAACAACAACAGAAAACATATCTAAATAACTCGAAAGAACAACATAAAAAAAAAGAAACACAAAAAAAGTTACAGTTACAGTTAGAAACAAACCACAACAACAAACAACAACCAATTTGAAATCGCCCATTTCAGATGTACAATAACTTCACGGGTGCCAGCGGAAGCCCACCACTGCCAGATATCATTGGACAATATTACGGCCCCGGAATCGGAGGTGGAATCGGTGGAGGAATTGGCGGATACGGTGCACCACTTAGCTGCACCGGTTTGGGCTATGGCCAGGCCTATGAGCTATACGGCCCCTCAAGTTCGACAGGGTATTTATACGATCCGACGTCGAGTGCCGCCGCCGCCGCCGCCGCCGCTGCGGCAGCACAGATCTACGGACAGACATCGCCCATACGGCGTAGGCGATACAGCATTGCCGGACTGCCATCGGCGACAATGTACAATGATGTATACGGTTATCCGGCGCCGCCGCTGCAGCAGACGAGCTCCACGAACATTGTGAATCTGTTGAACGAGGCGCACAAATCGATATCGCGCTCATCGCAGATACTCAATCTGAGTCACCAGGCCAGGCAGCTGGGCCAGCCGCTGATGCAGACGCAGACAGTGACGACACCGCTGTCCGGCCGCGTGGTCTCCAGTTATCCGACGCTGCACGGTGGCGATACATCGCCACCATATTTGAACGATAACCTGCTGCAAATGTCGACGAGCTTCTCATCCCAGCCCAATATGTACTTCCAGCCGCAGCCGACGCAGCTGACGGCCGCCCAAAGTGCCGCTGCGGCGGCTGCGCGTCTGCGCCCCGCCTACTCCGTAACGAACCTCGCTGCCGGCTATCCAGCCAGCTGCAAGTACGGCGCGACGGGCTACGCGAATCCCTATCAAAGCGATCTAACCACTGCCAACGCCGCCGGCTATGGCCTGGGCCTCGGCCTGGGCATCGGTCCCAGTTTGGGGTCCGGTCTGGGCTTGGGCTTGGGTCTGCCGGCGGCGCAGCAGCGTCAGCTCATGTCACACTCACTGCATGCCTCCAATCCCGCCATTTCGCAGTACTATCAGCAGCATTCGCTGCCACCGCCGGCCAGCTCGGCGCTGGCGTACAATCTGCATCAACAGTTCGCCGGTACGCAACAGCAACAGCAGCAGCAACAGCATCCCCATTCGCATATACAGGCCTCGGTGCAGCAGCAGATGAACCCGCAGTATCAATATCATGTGCATCAGCACCAGAACCATCTGCAAACCCATCCGCTTGCAGCGTTGGCAAATACGAGCGGCCCATTTGGGGGGACGCTGGCGAGCAGCGCTCGTGATGTCGGCGTTGGTTACGATCCGCTGCATCATCATCATCATCATCACTCAACGCATCCAGCGTTGCATCATTCGCATTCGCATTCCAATACGCATCATCATCATCTGCCGGGCGGCCTGCATGCCTCATCATATCCGCACACGCACTCGCTAACGCATCATCAGCAGCAGCAGCAACAACAACAACAACTACAACAACAACTACAACAACACCATCACCACCATTTGCCATACTCGAAACTAGACTTAGATTATCCGAAACTGCCGCAAGAGCATAAGCGACAAGTAAGTTTTAAATTTGACGTAGACACGCTATCCCTAGATTCCTAGATACTACTACTACTACTACTCGATACTACTACTCGATACTACTACTCGAAACTAATACTCGATACTACTCGATACAACAGCCACATTCAGCAAAAACAACCAACTATAAACTATAAACATGCCCATCAAAATCGAATCTGAAACTTTTCAATTCAATCATTTGATAGCCAAATGATCCAAATCAATTAAATACGCGAATGTACTCAAAATCGCATAGCCCCAATTGATGCATTTTACGCTTTTAACCCTCTCCCAATATCCCTAATCATACCAAACAAACTTTGTCTAGGTCAAATCAAATAAGCCAACGACATTTGCAGTGTGCGGTTCTCGAAATAACAGAAATAATGAAAAACAAACACCAAGTATTACACAACCGATATACCATATATTATAGTTTTTAATTAATATATGGGATATATGCATTAGAAGTAGCTTAAGTCAAAGTATATAAGGAAAAATCAAGAACAAAAAGAAGAAGAAGAAGAAGAACTATTGTTTAATGTGCCATTTTAAAGTAGCGAGAACAAGGATTTAAAATAATACATACAAATTTCAAGAGCTGTACAAGTTTTGTATTTAGTTATCATTTTTGCTTGTTGGTATTTTCTTTCTATTCTAAGTATATATTTTGTGGTTATTTTGCATACCACTCAGGGCAACTTTTCAGAGAAAGAAATTGTAAAAGAACTGTATAGAAATGAAAAAGTATTCGTTTGAAATTTGAACCACTTTGCTCTTGACTCTCAAAAGTAAAAGACTGTAAATAACAACAAGAAAACAAGTGAAACTAAATGATATTTACTCATAAATGTAAACCATTTATACAATATAGTTATACAAAAAAAATAAAATAAATAAAACAAAAAACAACAAGATGAGGAGATAAAAATGTAATGAAAATGAGAAAATTTACTTTACTTTATTTGTTACACCCAAGACTCGTAAATGTTAAGTTATGCGAGAGGTACAACAATGATAAACGAAAATGAGAATGAAGCTTAAAGTTATTATTAAATCAAAACCTATAAAGTACTCGTACTCGTATTCATACTTAGTCTTATACTTATATAGAACAAAAGCAAAAGAACAAAAAACCAAAAACAAAAACAAAAAAACAAATTGTTAGTGCAACTCTCTATTTGAAGAACAGAAAATACTTAAACTACCTAAATACATGTACTGTAATGCATTACCTACTTATCAGTAAAGTATGTATAAGCGAATACTTTGCATAGTGAGACCCTACAATACCCTCGTCCCCTAATTCCAATTTAGCCAAGCCTAAGCAAGGACCTCTATACCCAACCTACTAACTACCTTACCTAACTAGCAAATTACCTAACTAACCTAGACTCCAAACTACTACTTACTAACCATCTAAGCATTTGCATAATAGATTGTGTTTCAATTACTTTAATCACAAGAGCAGTCGCCATCTTGATTCGGTTCATTTTTGTACTTGGTTTGGCGGTCTACGGACTCTTCCAGCTAAATACATATATATGTACTCGTATAGCCCACTAAGTAATAGCGTGTGATTAGCAATGAAGGTCAATTATATGTGAAGATGAAATTTATATATATGCTAAATCCAGAGACGGGTAGCAAAAGTAAAACGAAACAGTAGCGGAAATTGAAAGTGTAAAATGGAAATGTCTTGAAAACTGGACTATATATATATACATACTATATATATAACATCTGGCAATGTGTCTAACACAACAGTTTGGTTGCAGTTTTAAATTGTATTTGGAATCGAAAAGCAAAAAATCGAAACAGAAACAGAAACAGAAACAGAAACGAAGAAGCATTCAAAATGTGTCTATGCGAATATTATACAAAAATGTATTATGTATTGTACCATGTACTAAAGTTCTTATATTCATACCTACTACTTAGTGTTCCAACTGAACGTTTATATTTACTTATACATCTATATACTTAATATAAATATATATATATACATATATATTTACCAATACATACATACATACATGTATCTTGGTGCTTTTTATTACAAACTTGATTCGTCTTCAACCAAAAATGGTTACCTTTATTGTAGTGTGCAAATTGTTCGGCTTAAAATTGCGTTACAAAAAAAGAAAACAAAAAAAACAAAAAAGAAAAGAAACACATTAACTACTTTTTCGACCTTTTTCGAATACATCGTTTTTCTCAAAGAAAGTAAAAGAAAAGAAAACCCCCAGTTTGTTATAGCTTAGTACGTAGTGAAATCAAAAACATGGAGTTACTCTAATTTGTCATATATAGTAAACTATTTAGTATAGCATACCAATTGTAGTTGTGCACACACACACACACACACACACTGGAACTAGTTCGATGGGGGTGTGTGCGTGTGTGCTTAGGTGAGGGGCAATCGTATACAATACGTTTTTTATGGCCCCGCATGAGCAATAAAACTTGCGTTGTGTTCAATAGGAAACTTTAAATGATCCTAACTTGATTTTTCGATAAAAGATTTTTGTATTTTGATTTCGTATATTATCGTATCGGTCTCTCTCTAGTCATAAGAATGGATAATAAGCTTAACACTAGCCAATTGAAAGCATTTATGTGCAGCAGTTGCTGTCTGTGTAAAGGACATACTTACATACATCCAACAACATACAAACAAACATTCGCATATACGTAGAGAATCATGTTACAACAGATACTTAGCTATACTTATCTATATAGATAGATAGTTCACCCTACTTTCACTTTCACTTTCACTTTCCCTGACTTCGACTTTCGACTTTCGACTTGGGTTCTTGTTTCTTCTTTATGAGCAGTGAGTACATCAATAAGAAGGCATTTACTTATACAGTTATACTTATACTTATACTTATATTATACTTATTATTATATAAAAATGATGAGTCATGATGATCTTGAATACTTGAAATATTTATACTTATTATACGTATACATGCATAAACAATATAATTATATTGTACTTATATTATGATATACCTAATTAATTACTACTCCAGCGATATATAATATACACATATATATATATATATATATGTATATGTATAAATGTGTATATATATACATATATTTATACACTGATTTGTATTTGTAAACTTAATTAAGATTACTTCTCAGACTTAATTCAAAACTAATTCTTGAGATCGAACTCGAATCGAATTCTGTTAAACTTAACCTAAATCTTAAGCATTATAAATGAAATTTTCGAAAGCAAACAATAAAAACTTTAACATGCGACAACCGAATGGATAAGCTATGCCCAACGTCTAGCATCAGGTTAACAGTTTTAACAGTGTTAACAGCTCATAAGCGCCCCTCCACCCTCTCTAACCCTTTAAGAAACACTCACACACTCACACACACACACGCACACACACACACACGCACACACACACAGCAAACACTACTTTTAACACACAGTTGACCCTCGGTTCTGCAAAGGGGGCAACGACTTTTGCAGTTACATACTATATATATATATTCTACATACTCTCTATCTCTCATATTTGCTCGCCACGCCCACATGCCCACAACGCCCCCCCACAACTCTCGCTCATACATACATATACGACATGTAAGCCACCCACAACCACCCACATTTGTACACAATTGCGCCGCAATTTTGCACCAAGAGAAACTATTACACACTTAAAAAAAAGAAACTACTAAAAAATACAAAAAAAAAAGCAAAGAAAAAAACCAAAAAAAAATAAGAAAGAACTTAATTGTAGGCAAGGCAGCTGTGTTTGCTTTGCAGTTGTGATGCAATTTTAAAATCATGGTATGTCTTGTATCTTATCCTTTACCCCACAAAAAAAAAAAAAAAAACAAAAACCGAAACGAATAAATACTCCACCAACGAAACGACCAAATCCAGTTGGACGAATTCCGTCTTGAAATACAAAGAAGGGATCAAGAGATATTGGCGATGGCGGCCAAAATGAAAACGCTAGAGGAGCAGCATCAGGTAATTGGCGCAGTTGCGAATCCAAATTGTTCAATTGTCCCCATGCACAGTAAAATATAACTTTCGTTAGGACTATCAGCGGCACATAGCGGTGCTCAAGGAGTCGCTATGTGCCAAAGAGGAGCACTACAATATGCTGCAGACGGATGTCGAGGAGATGCGCGCCCGCCTCGAGGAGAAGAATCGCCTCATCGAGAAGAAGACCCAGGGCACACTACACACGGTGCAGGAGCGCAATCGGCTGACCAGCGAACTCACCGAGCTCAAGGATCACATGGACATCAAGGATCGCAAAATTAGTGTGCTGCAGCGCAAGGTCAGAGAGCAGATGAGATGATAAATGAAAGAATTAAATCATACTCATAAAATATACATAAACAAATACACACACCACACACCATACACAACAAACAACAAACAACAACTTCACAGATTGAGAACCTCGAGGACCTGCTGAAGGAGAAAGACAACCAGGTGGACATGGCCAGGGCCAGACTCTCCGCCATGCAGGCCCATCACAGCAGCTCAGAGGGTGCTCTCACCAGCCTCGAGGAGGCCATCGGCGACAAGGAGAAGCAAATGGCGCAGTTGCGCGAGCAACGCGATCGAGCCGAGCACGAGAAGCAGGAGGAGCGCGATCTGCACGAGCGAGAGGTGGCCGACTATAAAATGAAACTGCGTGCCGCCGAGAGCGATATTGAGAAGCTGCAGACGCGCCTGGAGCGGGCGGTGAATGAGCGCGAGCGACTCGAAATCAAGCTGGAGGCATCGCAGAGCGAACTGGGCAAATCGAAGGCGGAGCTGGAGAAGGCCACCTGCGAGATGGGCCGCAGCAGCGCCGACTGGGAGTCCACGAAGCAGCGCATCGCACGCCTCGAGCTGGAGAATGAGCGGCTGAAACACGATCTGGAACGTTCGCAGGTACTCGTGCATTAGAACCGGTTCCCCGGATCAGCCTAGCGCTATTATCCACAAACCATAAACCATTACATACTATATCATATATGTTAAATCGTGTTCCTCTGTGTGCAGTGTACATATATATATATATATATATTTATGAAACCAAATTATTATTCAAACATATTGGTTATCGATAACGATAGCGATAATTTAACCCAGTATTATAACAATTACTACATATATGCCTCTATGTGTGCTATATATATTTACATGTACACTTACAACTACAACAACTACTACTACTACTACTACTACTACTATGTAACAACAACATCTCGCATCCCAACAACAACAACAACAACTTTATCACTCTACTATATATAAATAATCGATACATTAACCAACAACTAGATGCAGCTAGAAGAACAGACCACACTACACAAAGTAAGCCTACCGCCAAAACCTACCTAAATACCTATAAACCTAACTACCTCTAAGTACCTACTCGTAGTGCCTAAGTTGTGCTCGTTTCTCGTAGTACCCATTTGTAAACACATCCTGTAGCAAAGCACACTTTAGTTACCTGTAAGCATTTTGCATCTAGAGCCAGCAGGTTTCATTTGTTTAAGTTTCAGTTGAAAGATCAAATCTATGCAAGGCGCAAACCTAAAAGTTTCTGAAGAGCCAGATAATATTATTTATTGATTTTGAAAATCAGTTTAAATGTGAGAAATTTAAAAATCATTTTACAAATCATTTTTTACTACTCACAAAGTATTTAATGCCACAAGTATTCCTGCAATTGGAATAGTGAATGAATACTCAACACTCGTTAAATATTTATATGCTAGCATGTTAACACTTCAATTGTTTAATAACGGAAACAACAGAAACTTTTGGGGCCCATTTGCCCATTTGCATAACACATTAGTCAGCCACTGTTGCCACCAACACCAGCTCCCCGCTAGCACTGTGCACACACATTCTTAGTCTGGTCAGCACACACACACTCTCTCTCGCACACACAGACACACACATCCTGACAACCTGTGCATAAATACACGATTTGTGAAATTAGCAAGTAGTCGAGGTTTTGATTTAATCTTGTCCACTTACATACGTTTACAAATTGATATGCATAATAATTGAAGCGGTTACAATTATCATCGCCGTTAATTAAGTATGCCTGCCTCATGCAAATGTCTATGTCTGAATTGTTTAATTGTTGCTGAACATGCATATCGTATCGTACTTTACAGAACGTACAAAAGTTAATGTTCGAAACGGGCAAAATATCGGTAAGTTGGCCACAAGCCTTGGCTGGCCACAAGGCCACAATGTAGAACTAGTGCTCAAAACAAAAAAAAATAAAAAGATAATCGATAGCACACCAATAGTCCAATATTAATCGAAACGTTAAAGCCAATGCTCGATTTAAAAAGTCTATAAATTCACTTATCTAACGCTTGGTTAGGCTTTAAATCAGGCTCATAATAATAATAATAATAATAATATTATTAAAAATTGCGTTAATTTTGCAACACTTGAATACTGCACAGTTTATAAGTGCTGCGTTGAGTAGAAGAATGTAATTTTATAAGGCCTTGAATTATAAGAATTGCATTTGTTAGTTTTGCTTAATACACACTTACACACAGAAACACACACACACACACACACACATGTTTATAGAGCAGATACAATGGTGAACACAAAACAAATGTTTAAAGCGTTAAATGCACCGACTATCAATTCCTACATAAACTTGAAGCTTGATACGAAATCCCAAGTCAAAACTCATGTTCATTATCGAAACACAATGCTACACTGCTACATATTAAGTATAAATTGAATATAAGCCATATATGTATGGCTTACACACAATACGTATACGCATCGTATGCCATTCGATTGCTTTCCTGCTGGACCATATTTGCCAATGTTTTGAAATTGTTTGAAATGTTTATGCTATGCTTAATTGTTTCTAACTCTGTAGCTGTTTCTAACCGTTTCTAACATAAATATTATCTGTATGCCATTATAACTAAATACTAATTGATTCGTTTTGCGTCTCGCACCCATCAAAGACAACGTTTGGACGCACCACAATGACCACGTCCCAGGAGCTGGATCGGGCCCAGGAGCGAGCCGATAAGGCCGCTGCCGAGTTGAGGCGCACACAGGCTGAGCTGCGAGTGACACAGGTACAGTTATTACAATCATCATTAAGCCCATATTCGATGCATACATATATTATATATATATAAATATATAATTATAAAATATACAATACTATATATATATAAATTACATATTCGTATTCTGTGCATATAACCTATACATATTATGTATCTATGCATACGAGCATCTCTCTCGTGACTCGTGTATCTCTCTGTGTGCTCTATTAATTAGTAATCTATGCGTAAATCAAATCTCAAATCGCTCTCGCAAAATATGCAAGTCAAATTTCATATCTATCTCTGTGTGCGTGTGCTACAACAACAACAACAACAACAATAACAACAACAACAACTCGTTCTAACTACTACAACTACTACGCATTGGTCTCAATCCATGAATGAATACTCTTTCTGTACTCTATATACTTTCCACAACAACAACAGAACACATTCTAATCTGTACATTTCTGTATGAAACACATTCAGCTGTCTTCTTAATGGCATCTCAACATCAAGAGCAACAACCAACACACACAGACACACACACACAGACACACACACAGCCAAACATTTTGCACCTGCAAATCAAATCACTTTTAAGCGTATATAAATTACAACGAGTATTCGCCAAAATTAACAAATAAATTATTAATTAAAGATCTTACTTTAAACTCCTTCTTTTGCACTTTTAATATCAGACCTCAACTAAATAAATATTATTATTAAAAGATGGAAACTAATGTATAACAAAAAGAAGTAATTTACTTATTAATGTAAAATTCAGAAATTTAGTTTAAAAATTCCAAACTGCTTTTGGGTTATTTACTCATTTCAAATTGGTGAAAAAGCTAGAACAACTTCTTATCGCCTGTTCTAAAATTATAAAAAACTGTTGACTTGCGCTAAAAGGTTTTACTGCTTTTTTTCACATAACTCTTAGCTGTAACGTAAAAGTAAAAACAAAAAAAAAAAACAATTACTAAACTACCTATAAATATTTTGTGTATACTAAAACCTAAACTCTATCTAAATCGTTGTGCTTACATTCATTTTCTATAGGGCGAAACTAAAGAACGTTTTGTGAGTAAATGCTTATAAACAAAAAACAAATGATACTCGTACAAGTTTTTAGTAACAAGATACAGCAACTAAAACATTTTTGGAACCAAAATGAAAAACAACAACATTGGAAACATTCCATACAAAACAAAAACAAATCAAATTAGCTGCCATCTACTACATAAATGTCATGTGTTTTACTTACTGTACAATAATACTATTCGTAACTTGCATTGCCTAACATACTAACTAACCTACATAAACTTATATACATAATACATACATATACATACATACATACATATATAAATATATATATTTAAGCATTTGTTCAACCATTGTCCTTGTACAGAATTGCTTTGAGTCCATCTAAATCCATCAATCATCGTGTGGATTCCGAACATCTATGTGTGACTCCTGCATGAGTTTTGTGTGTGTTGTCGAGGCCCAAAATGAACAAAATGAACAAAATTACCATCCGAAAGCCACACATAACCAAACAAATTAACTTTGACGAAGAAGCAGCCGTTTTTTATCAACGACAACAACAACATTTAATAGGACGTTTTGGGATTAGGTCTTCTTGTATATAATTGAACAATAATTGATGAGCAATCCCACAAAGGGCGACTTAAATTAAGTGTGCTTCTCGCAATATTCCAAGGACAACAAAAGTTTCTCTACTCTCCTCATAAAGAAGTGACGAACTCAAGACATAAACTATCAAAGTGGATGAATTCAACAGCATTGAAGTAGCTCTTTCTTTACGTGTAGACACAAGCAGCCAATCGAAACTTAATATTTACTTTATAAATATATGTGTAAAAGGGAATAATGTTGTCTAAAAAAACCTTACCTTATCACCAAGCCATTTAAGAGCTCAAAACTTTACATTTCCAAATCCAGTGTGAATAAAAGACAGTTTTAAGTACAAAGTACACAAGGAATTACTCAAAAACTTTTTCCTAGGGGACCACACACAGCCTCTCCCACACACGCCCACACACACACACACACACAGACACACACACACACACACACACACACACACAGACACACACAAACACGTACACAACAACTCAGGCAAGACGTGAAGCCAATTTTGCAACGTGACTTTGGCAACTGTTTTCAGAGAACTCTGCTGGAAAGTTGCAAGACTTGCGCTTGATTTACTTAAGCTGTTAATTTCTTCAACCCATACACTCACACACCCATATACCCACGTGCTCGCACACACATACACGCACTCACACACACAAACACACTTACGTTTGCCTTAAAGTCTGTCTTACGTTTGCCTTAATACTCGTAGCCTTATTCCTTCACACATACTTTGTCTTTGTCTCATTTTGCACCCGAGCGCCACCTATCGCTGTCAGTTTGCTCAGCCTCATTGCCTGCTCTTTCGCTCTCTCTCTCTCTCTCTCTCTCTCTATCTCTCTTTCTCTGCCTTTGTCTTTGTCTCTTTGTCCTTGTCGTTTATCAAGTGTCACCCACAGTCCATTGTCAATTCGCTTTGTGCTCAACATTCGCAGCATAAATATCGCTCGCTCTAGAAGTTGTTTATCGTAATCGTTATCGCAATCGTTATCGCAATCGTTATCGTTATCGTAATTATTATTATAAGTACTCGTACTTGTTGTTTTACCTATTTATGTATTGTGTCTGACAATCAGTCAGTCAATCAGTCAATCAGTCAGTCAGTCAGCCAGCCATTCAGTCAGTCATTCATTTAAGAGACCATCCACATCATGCGTGCCTGTAAATAATATCCGTATCCACATCCAATTTACCCCCCCTAACAACTACAACAACAACAACAATTAACAACTCGATAACGATAACGCCAAAACCGAAAAACCGCAGTCGGACGCGGAAAGGGCACGCGAAGAGGGCGCCGCCCTGCAGGAGAAGCTGGAAAAGAGCCAGGGCGAAGTGTATCGACTGAAGGCGAAGCTGGAGAACGCCCAGGGTGAGCAGGAGAGTCTGCGCCAGGAGCTGGAGAAGGCCCAGAGCGGCGTCTCGCGCATACACGCCGATCGCGATCGGGTAGGCACAACAAAATCTGTTATTCCTCCCCAACCCCTGCGCACTACCCACTAGCACCTCCCTCCCCCCTCTATACCCCACAACCATCCTTCCAATTCACTCACACCCGGTTGGTATCTGTGCCGCAGGCATTCTCCGAGGTGGAGAAGATCAAGGAGGAGATGGAGCGCACCCAGGCAACGTTGGGCAAGGCGCAGCTGCAGCACGAGAAGCTGCAAAATTCGCTGGATAAGGCGCAGAACGAGGTCGATCATCTGCAGGATAAACTAGACAAGGCCGGCACCGAGAACCGACGACTCGTCCTCGAAAAGGAGAAGCTCACCTACGACTACGATAATCTGCAATCGCAGCTGGACAAGGCCCTCGGCCAGGCGGCGCGCATGCAGAAGGAGCGTGAAACTCTCACCCTGGACACGGATCGCATACGCGAAAAGCTCGAGAAGACGCAGGTATGCGGTAATCGTTGCCACTCAACACATTCAAGGTGCCATCACACACAGACAAACACACAGACAAACACACACAGACACAGACACACATGCATAGAAACACACGCCGAGCCATGCAACACGCGTAGAGCCTTGTGCAACCTGTACCCCAATCGATGTCTGTGCAATGTAACTGTAATGTGTTGTGACTAACCCCCAACCCCAAACACTAACCTAAAACAAAGCCTTTCTCAACTGTACATAACTACACACACACACACACACACGTGCCACTTACTATCAGTGGTTGCTCTGAAACTCAAAATATCCCAAAGATCAATTCTTTATTTTCTATCTATCATTTTTGGCCTCTAATCGAAAAGCTTTTTAAATTTCATTCTTTATTTTTGGAAAAGAAATTATAATACCAATTTTCTATGAATGAATATTTATGTTTTCAAAAAAACACTTTAAAATATTGAATTTCAAAAACAATAGTCAAATTATTTGAATTTTTGTGCTTCTTTCTATTTTCGACAAATGATTGGCTATTTTTGCGCAATTGTTGTGACTTTTTATTTTTAACAAGATAATGATCGAATCTATTGTCGCTACCTTTTCCCATTATTAAACCGAACCACAAATTTCAATCGGGTTCAGAGCGACCACTCTCAATACTCAATACTATTCTATATACTTAAGCCGATTGCTGTGTCTCATATCATATATAAACATGCATATACCAATATAACAACATATATATATCCATATATATATAAATATCGTACACATACTTCCTATGCATACCCCATATTCGCATCTATATACGTATCTATCTTTCAACTATGTGCTATATGTGATATATATGAATACACTCGCGAATACATTCACAACAAACAGACGCAGCTAGCGCGCATACAGAAGGAGAGGGATCAGTTCTCCGATGAACTGGAAACGCTCAAGGAGCGATCGGAATCCTCACAGACGCTCCTAATGAAGGCCGCACGAGATCGGGAGGCGATGCAAACCGATCTGGAAGTGCTCAAGGAGCGTTACGAGAAATCGCATGCCATACAGCAGAAACTGCAGGTAATTTCCCAACCCAACTGAGAACCACTAAAAGAGAGGTATTTCAACACACACATACTCAATTGGCAATAAAACCATATACTTCTATTATAAGGCATACATATACTAATCGTCTAATCCAAAAAAAAAAAAAAAACAAAAACATAGCATGTGAAACTGAAAACTACCAGTGAAATTGGCTGTTTGTAAATTTGTAGCTTCATTTAAAAAAAAAACACTGCTTGGCCCTTATTAAGAATCCCATCAGATCCGATTAGAACCCACTGCTATACTTAGTCGCTTGCTTTTGCTCTACTTGCAGATGGAGCGCGATGATGCCGTTACCGAGGTGGAGATACTCAAGGAGAAGCTGGACAAGGCACTGTATGCCAGTCAGAAGCTGATCGATGAGAAGGACACCTCCAACAAGGAGTTCGAGAAGATGCTGGAGAAGTACGATCGTGCCCAAAACGAGATCTATCGCTTGCAATGCCGTTGCGATACTGCTGAAGCGGATCGGGCCCGTCTCGAGGTGGAGGCGGAACGTTCCGGCTTGGCCGCCACGAAGGCGCGTGAAGATCTGCGCAAGCTGCAGGATGAGAGCACACGGCTGCAGGAGGCCTGCGATCGGGCTGCCCTGCAGCTCAGTCGAGCCAAGGAGTGCGAGGATAATGCGCGCAGTGAACTGGAGCACAATCGGGATCGCTTCGATAAGATACAGACGGACATCCGTCGCTCCCAGGGTGAGAAGGAGCACCTCCAGTCGGAGCTGGAGCGCGTCACCTACGAACTGGAGCGTGCACATGCGGCACAAACGAAGGCAGCCGCCAGTGTGGAGGCTGCGAAGGACGAGGCCGCCCACTATGCCGTCGAGCTGGAGAAGATGCGCGAGCGTTACGAAAAGAACCAAGTGGAGCTGCGCAAGCTGCAGGATACGGATACGTTCGGGCGTGAGACGCGCCGATTGAAGGAGGAGAACGAACGGCTGCGTGAGAAGCTGGACAAGACACTGATGGAGCTGGAGACGATACGCGGCAAGTCGCAGTACGAGTCGGAATCGTTTGAGAAGTACAAGGATAAATACGAGAAGATCGAGAACGAGATACAGAACATGGAGTCGAAGCTGCACGAGACGAGTCTACAGCTGGAGCTGTCGAAGGGCGAGGTGGCCAAACTGCTGGCCAATCAGGACAAGCAACGGAGCGAACTGGAGCGTGCCCACATCGAGCGGGAGAAGGCGCGCGACAAGCACGAGAAACTGCTGAAGGAGGTCGATCGTTTGCGCCTGCAACAGTCCTCGGTGAGCCCCGGCGAACCGGTGCGCTCGTCCGCCTCGATGTCGATCTCGGCGGGCGAGCGACAGGAGATCGATCGGCTGCGTGATCGCCTCGAGAAGGCGCTGCAGTCGCGCGATGCTACCGAACTGGAGGCCGGTCGCTTGGCCAAGGAACTGGAGAAGGCACAAATGCATTTGGCCAAACAGCAGGAGAACACCGAGTCTGCGCGCATCGAATTCGAGCGCATGGGCGCCGAGCTGGGCCGTCTGCACGATCGTCTCGAGAAGTCCGAGTCGGAGAAGGAATCGCTGCGAACGCAAGCCGGACGCAGTGGCGCCGCGGGCGGCGCCCATCCGCAGCTGGAGAAGCACGTCCAAAAACTGGAGAGCGATGTCAAACAGCTGGCCATGGAGCGCGAGCAGCTGGTGCTTCAACTGGAGAAGAGTCAGGAGATACTCATGAACTTCCAGAAGGAGCTGCAGAATGCCGAACAGGAATTGCAAAAGACACGCGAGGAGAATCGCAAGCTGCGCAACGGCCAGCCCGTTGCGCCCGCCGCACCCGCCGAACTGCAGGCCATGCAGAAGGAGATCCAGGTGCTGCAACAGAAGCTGCAGGAGTCGGAGCGCGCTCTGGCGGCAGCAGGACCACAGCAACAGCAGGCAGCCGCTGCAGCAGGCGCCGCGGGCGCCACGCGCGAGGAGATCGAACAGTGGCGCAAGGTCATCGAGCAAGAGAAGAATCGCGCCGACATGGCCGACAAGGCCGCCCAGGAGATGCACAAACGCATACAGGTTAGTCAAGCAAACCAAAAATCCATTTCGAACTGCAAACTTAAAAGCTACCGTCTCTCTCTCTCTCTCTCTCTGTCTGCTTCAGCTGATGGACCAACACATCAAGGATCAGCATGCCCAGATGCAGAAAATGCAGCAGCAGATGACACAGCAGCAGCAGCAGGCGGCGCAACAACAGCAACAGACGGCAGCTGCCAGCGCCACCAGCGGCGTCGACGCCAAGGAGCTTGAAAAGGTCAAGGTTGAGCTGCAAGCGGCCTGCACGGAACGTGATCGCTTCCAGCAGCAGCTAGAGCTCCTCGTCCAGGAGCTGGAGAAGAGTCAGGTAAGCAAAAGCAAACCAGTCTCAGACAGTCCGATGGGAAAAAGCGTGTAATTAAGTTGTGCAAATGTCTATAACAGGCAGAAGGAAGTACATATATCCGAATACATCAAGTACATTTAATTTTGATCAGCATTAATAACCGGGTCTATCTCAGAAACTATATCAATTCAAAACATTTGTATTTTCATATTTTGCAAACTACTGCAAGCCTGAATTCAGAATATATTGCGGTTGCTCTGTCTCCACTAGAGCATTCTAACTTGTTCAATTTGAATGCTGTCTTAATCTAGATGTCCCACTTTCCTTTAATCATAACGATCGAGCTGTTCTGCTTCAAGCTGGTGATTACACAAATGATATCGATCGACATCGATATTATATGTTAAGCACAATTAAGTTACAGCTGTTATTTTACAGTCACTAGTAGACTGCTAAAATACACACAACATACATCACACATGTGTACATAATACGTATACAAAATTGTAGGTAACGGGTCTCTACAGAATACACACAAACATATTTGTGTTCGCGCTGATTTGGTAACCATGCCATCTCTTTCTCACGCCGTCTCTTACGCTCGCACATACGTATACAGGAAATACTTGCGCCTGCTGATAGAAATGAGATCAATAACTTGGGTATTTCTTATTTGATCTTGATGAAATTTGTTTAACTGATCAATAATATACATAAGCATATTATATATTCGATGCCTCTGCCTTTAAAGATCATGCTTTTTTGATACTGGAAAACGAAATGTATCGATATTCCAGAACCGGGCAGTTATCGATAAAGTAAAACAAACTTGATCTGCGCGAGGCATTCTCCAAATTCGAAGAATATATATACTTTATTTGGTAGGAGATGCTTCCTTCTGCCTGTTAGAAACAATTACGCAAAACCATTATATTCTATTTACTAATTTTCAACCAAAAGCTAATCAAAGTTATCTAAAATTGATACTCTTAACACTTATATTAATTAATATCATCATTTTGCAGATGTCCAATCAGGAGCAGGCGAAGCAATTGCAGACAGCGCAGCAGCAAGTGCAACAGCTGCAACAGCAAATCCAAACGCTGCAGCAGCAAATGCAACAGCTGCAGCAGGCGGGCAGCGCGGGGGCGGCGGCAACAGATGTGCAGCGCCAGCAGCTGGAGCAGCAGCAGAAGCAGCTGGAGGAGGTGCGCAAGCAGATCGATAACCAGGCGAAGGCCACTGAAAGCGAACGCAAGATCATCGATGAGCAGCGCAAGCAGATCGAAGCGAAGCGCAAGGACATCGAGGACAAGGAGAAGAAAATGTCCGAATTCGATGTGCAGCTGCGCAAGCGTAAGGAGCAAATGGATCAATTGGAAAAGTCATTGCAAACACAAGGGGGCGGTGCGGCGGCCGCCGGCGAGCTAAACAAGAAGCTGATGGACACGCAACGGCAGCTCGAAGCGTAAGTTGAACTGATTTCAAGAAAGAAACGGCTCCTGTAGCTAAACTGCACATAAAACAAATGTTTTTTGATAAAAATTTAACAAGAACACAACTGCTGTTGTTAAAATTAACATGCACATAACACTGTGTAATGAGTATAATATATCAATCAACGATATGTCATATTAACATAACACAATATGTTAGTGTAATGTAAATAAAAGCTCTCTTTCTCTCTGTTTCTAACTTACTGTTAACATGTGTCAATTCTATTTGCAGCTGTGTGAAGGAACTGCAAAACACAAAAGAGGAGCACAAGAAGGCGGCAACTGAAACGGAGCGACTGCTGCAATTGGTACAAATGTCACAGGAGGAGCAGAACGCCAAAGAAAAGACCATTATGGATTTGCAACAGTGAGTGACAATAGCTTAACTAATTAAATATACGATTACTAATTGCATTTTCTACGCTTCGCAGAGCCTTAAAGATCGCTCAAGCCAAAGTCAAACAAGCACAAACACAACAACAGCAGCAGCAGGACGTAAGTGCAGTTTTTAACAGTCTCAATTTTGTGTTATCGATGCAAATTAATCGGAACTTTATTTTGCAGGCTGGGCCCGCTGGCTTCTTGAAGAGCTTTTTCTAAACAGAGAGCCACTGAATTGTGTGTACAAATACTTGTTAGTACAACAAGTATTCACAAACCTAACACAACAAATAACAACAAAGAACAGCACTGTCTACTATTTTGTATACTACCGATTACCGATACCGATACCGACTATGCAGTATTTCTTCTACTACTATGTACCACACAGACACACTCACACACACACACATTTGTAAATGACATATGTAAAATGCAAGCAAATTATTTGATATTTATTGTATTGTAATTAGGTTGCCGCTATACTCAAATTATGGATGCATTTATGTAAATGTCAGTCAGATCGTAACGCGTACTTTGTAACTCTCTCTCTCTCTTTCAAACTCGAACATAAAATTAAACTTAACTCAATGTAGACCTTTAACAGCCCACAAATAATCTCTGTCTCGATTTCTAACCCTCTCACACACTTTCTTTTTCTCAACCTTTCTCTCTATCTATCTATTTGCTGTCTCGCTGTCTGTTGAACTTGATCTTTTTGTCAATTTTCGACCTGAAAGTAGACTAAGCTTTCTACCCAGCACAGCCCTCTGATTTGTACTCAAACTGAGCTCACACACACAAACACCTTTTGTCAAGTATCACATGTAATTAAATACTTTTATAATTATTCAAATTCTTTAAAGTTGAGAGTCGGGCATTTGTGTGTGTGTGAACCCAGATTGAGTTGAAGTTTCTCTCGGCACAGATGTCTGCAAAGATAAACCCAAATCATTAGTTTTGCATAAGGCGCGAATGTGATTCACAAAACCAAAACAAAACAAAATAAGAAGGAAACAAAAGCAAAATGAACAAATAAATAAATAATAATAATTATTATTAAATATACATAAATACGACATATAAATTGTTAGGCGCAACGTATATTTATATATATATATATATATAGTACTTATACATATATATATGTAGTTATCGATATGCTAGCCTCTGTTATAGTTAATTAAAACTGAACAAATGCAAAATCACACACATACAAACATCCAAAATTGAATCACATAATTCACACACACCAACACACACTGTACATAGAGCATTGAAGCATCTATTTATCGTAGTCGTACGATATGAATACGAGATACAAATAACCAAGTAGAGCAATAATTTATATATCCCATTGACATACAGCAGACATAAAGTATAAATCAGAATATATATATATATATATGTATATGTATATTGTAGCTATATTGTATGAGCATTACGAGTAAATTCCATATTGCGTAGCCTTTAGCCGTGTACCAAAGAATAAACACAACAACAAATAACTATAAATGAACAAAATATACTACAAAAAAATATAATTCGAATTCATAAATAAATACGCAAATTGGAGCTCTATTTTAATTAGTTAAATATACATAAATATATTGCATCTACCAAGCATATTCCCTAACCACAACAACAACAAACCTAGATAAATTTATACTGAAACACACTCTAAACTCTTCTTTTGCTTAACTCTCTTGCTGTGAATGAGCTTTGAGGTGAGACTCGAGATCGTACTTTAGCCCCTATATATATATATTTATATATATATATAGTGTTCACTGTCAACATTTTTGCTTTGTTTACAAATGGTGTTATTGTTATCGTACACATATACATAAATACATACATACATACATCCATACTAGCATATAAATATATATATATATATATATATATTTACATTAATATTAATAGCATATTTATAGCATATATAGAAGGTCTAGCGAATTAATTTATTTAGCTTTGTTTAAACAAATTCAAATTGTTTTTTGTCACAACCTTCGTTGATCAACTAAAACAACTAACAAATTATCATCACTGCCAATGTTTCCAAGAATAGTGAAAGTTGCAAACTAACTAACTATGTTCATTTATTATTATGCGAGAAAACCAATAAAAACAATTACAAGTAATTAAATTATGTCTATATATATATATATTGCCTTCAATTGGAATTAATACGATAACATTTGAGATAGTTCCGCTTTGTTTACTGCTGCTACTGCAATTAGCGAGTTAGTTTTGATCCTTGATCCATAATGGAATACCCCTGTTGTTGTTCTGTTTCACAAGCTCATGACATTCAGAATTAACAAACAATCATATCATACAACTAAAAATATATCACTGACATGACGAGAATTCGTATTGATATTCGATTCGATAACACACATTCGGCAAGTCGATAAAACCAAGAATAATAGATTTTTATGTGATAACGCATACAACAAACAAACACGATATCGATAAGTCGATAACATATTTTGTAAAATCTTAGTTTTAAAAGCAAAGCTAACACAATTGATTTATTCCATCAACCAACAATAGTTTTCGTCGTTATCGTTATCGATAAATTTACCTAGCGAAATACTCAAATAGTCTCCGCCAGTCAGTCAAGTTAGATAACGAGCAGAAGTACTTAAATGATCATAATACTCACGTTACGTTACTTAAATCTAGTTACAAGCATAAATATATCGATAGATTGGCAGCGCTATCGAATTGACGCATTCGATAAGCGATCGCCTTGTGTACATAACTAAGGGCCCCCAAAAAGTTCCTAAACCAGGAACGACGGGTAAAAAGCGCAGAAAATTTGAGTTGCATGTCAAGTGTACAAATTGGAAAACGGCAACATTGCCCCAGGCTGGCAGCCCCAGAGCTGTTTCAAGCCAGCAATGTGTACATACACACATACACACACACACACATATATATATATATAAAATAGATATTGCGTTAAAAGTATTTGAGTTCAAAGTAAAGTAAATACATTTTTCAACATTGCAACAGGTTGGCAGCCCCAAAACAGCGCCAGACTGCAATGTATTCATTGGCAAGCACGTACTTAATTATAAGAGCCTCACAAGGCTATTTAAATGTATAAGTACTTTAAATATATATATATATATACATATATATGAGTTACAAGTCAAGTAAATACATTTTTCAACATTGCAACAGGTTGGCAGCACCCAAAAACAGCTCCAGCTGGAAGTGTAAATAGTTGAAAGTCACATAATAGTTTTACAATTACATCTAAAGTTAAAAGTAAGCATATAACAGAAGCTGTATTATATATGAAACATTAATATACTCACTATATATACATATATATATATATATACTTATCATCGATACTTGCATTAATATTTATGAACACAAACAACAAACAGCAACAAAGTTTAAGATCAAGCAATTAACGACAAATCAAAAACAAACAAAAAATCGTTGGGACACATCACAGTCGCTCTCAAACTGCGTATACACAACTTTGACAATATTTGACAGACACCCACACAGAGACACTCACACAAGCTACACTGAGAAAAACAAAACCAAAAACAAACAAACAAACAACAACACCACACCCACATTCAAATATATATATATATATATATATTGAAATAGTAAACTTAACAATAAGATTTGTTGAAAGCCAACATATCGGGTTTAGCAAATGATATAGCACCAAACTAAATGATATATGTATATATATCATATGTAAATGAAAGATAACAGATTACATCTATTCTCTATACCTATATATCTATAACTATATCTATAATTATATATCTGTAACTGTATCTTTCTCTTTCTGTGGACAGGTATTCAAGATTCGATTCACTCTCTCCGAGTTATAGATATGAAAAACGTAAACAACAAAAACACTTGCCTTTAAAGTATGATCAACTTATTATTAGCCTAGATAGTTTGAACTAAACAACAAAAACAACAACAACAACAACTAACGATACATTGTCTATATACACACACATATACGTATATGATGTAAACTTAACTTAAAAGTAAATATATATAATAAATAAATTAATAAATAAATAAATAAAAACACTTTAATCATATTATCCCCGCCGTCGTGTACCCAAATTACAAACTAAATCGTAAAACTCGTACAATTAATACAAAATAATAACAAAAAGCTGCTTCAAATTTTTCTATACAACAAAAAAGAAAAAAAGAAAGAAAAAAAACAACAAAAAAACTAGCAATTCTAATATGTAATTAGCAAATTGTAAACTCAATATTATAGGCACACACACACACACTAACAAAATTGATTAATGTAGTTTTTACATTAAGATCCATAATGAATTTAATATAGAAAAACAAATTTGATTTATTTCGATTTATTTTTGATTTTGATTTTTATTGGTGCCGAGAACGGAAATATAAATCATAATAACCGCATCGTGTGTACTTTAATGTACATATGTAGACTATTCATAGCAAATACATATACCTAAACATATACATACGATAGATGAATATACATACATACATACACGATATACATCCAAGCCTAGATATGTATTCAAAACTAAAACACGTATAGAAAAAAGCGCAAATTAACAAGAAAGAAAAAACATTTGAAAATCGAGTCAGAATCAGAAAAACGTAGGCCGAGAAAATACGAAAATGCGAAAAGCGATTAAAGAGCAGCAAAAACAACAACAGAAACAACAACAACAAGAACAGCATTCAAACTTACTTAGAGAGAAGCGTCAAGAGAAAGCAGCAAAAAATACTATGAGAAAAAATACAAAAAAGAAAAACCAAAATCAGAGGAAAAATAAAAAATTCGTGTAAACATTTTTTTAACAAGTTTGGTGATCTACGATATTGATTATTGATAAATAAAGTATAAAATAAAATACTTATACATATATATATATATATATATATATAGTTAAGCCATTATATATACACACGCATACATACATATATATATATATACATATATATATATATATATATATATATATATATATGTATATACAATATATATACACATATATAATATATACATACATGAACTAAATAAGTTTACAAGGTATATGCATTAAACAAACAAAAACAACAACAACAACAAGAGCAACAAGAACGCAACCGCAGCAAACTAAAAACAAAAACAAAAAATATTAAAAATAAAAATTGATACAAAAAAAGACAAGATAAAGAATAACAAAATAAATAAATTTATTATATACATACATAGAAGAATATTAAAATCGAGAAATGAAATGGTATGAAATGAAACGATTATTTGAAACATGTTCATTATATATAAATGTCATTACAAATGTTCTTCAAAACTGCCTACCAATAAAATATATTTCAAATAATATGCAATTGCGTGTTTTTACAATTGGGGGATTTACCACAACAACAAAAAGACTGGCAACTTGAATTTTAACAGTAGCTGTTAGGATGTAACTCGAAATCGCAGCCAGCTTCACGCAACGCGATAGCTACTACTGCTGTTAAGTGAAAGTGCGTTAACATAACGCGCTGTGCAGAGCAACTGCTTGCAGTTTACAAGCAGTTTCTGTTATAACAGTAACAAGCAGTGCCTCTTTAATTTCCAATCAAGCGCCAGAATAAACAGAATATATAAGCAAATAATAACAAAACAGACCTACCAAAAATGAACTTGCACAAATGCCAAAATGAAATGGAAATGCAATCAGCTTAACTCGAATCAGATAAATAAAGCAAACATTCATTACGCGTCTGGCATATATTTTTCAGCTGAATACCAACCAGAATCCTATCTTTAATGAGCCAACAAATTGAACGAAGAAAGAAGAAGAGATAGCAGCAGCGGTAGTCATGGCAAATGGAAATGGAATCGCAGTGCCAGCTGCCCCATAAAATATTAAAAGTCATCCACCCACATACACACACACATATGTATATATATATATTTATATATATTGTATATAAAATGATGTAATCATACATATACATTTGTATGTCTTTGCAGGGGTCACATGTAGCATTTACTGTTAACACATATGTATGTACAAAAACATATGTATATAACATACTGCTGACTGCGTACATACGTATATGTGTATATACAGTTAGTTATTACTTGACAGCTACAATTGGATTACCTCCCCAGCTTTGCAGCAAGCTTCGCCAGCAAAAGCAGCAAAAGCTCCTCTTCGCTAGGCGCATGTGCTGCTGTCGCCATCGTCGTCGCCATCGTCGTCGTCGCCATCGTCGTCGTCGCCGTTGGCGTCGCTGCTGCTGTTTATCGATTGACCTAATTTTTTGGGTACATACTTCTAGTTGGATTCTTATCGCTGCTTTTCCACTGTTCGTCTTGTTGTTGCTGTTGGCTGGGACCGAATTCCAATGGCTTCGTCCTTTCAACGTCCTTTCCACAGCTGGGAAGCTTTTTCTGCAATTTAATGGCCAAATTCGCAGGGCAAATGAAAAGCCTTGAAGCGTGTGCCCTCTTTTCCTACATATCACATACATATATATTTCACTTGCGGGGGTGTGGCGACCCCTAACACCCACTCCCCTCCCACGCCCCCCCCCCCCTTCGTATGTGTGTGTGTATCCAGGGTATTTTTGGGGCGTGGGTTTTCTGGTTGTGGGTCTTTTGGGATGCATGGGGATTATTACCAGTTTCCATTTGCTGCTGCTGCTGCTGCTGCTGCTTGTTATAAATATGCTCATTATGTCATCAGCAAAAGCTGCAGCTAAGAGCTAGTTGCCCCACCCCGTATCTCCCCTCTCACACTCACCAACTCACTACGTGCTTAAATGGAGGAAGTAACGAGCCAATAAGTAAGCCACTGACTCCAATTGGAATCAAATTGCACATAAGTTAATAAGTTAGAACTGTAAAACGAATAATGAAAGTTTTGTGTTTGGTATTGCATATCGAAGGTTGTGCCTCAAATAATGTTTAACATTTAAAATATTAAGAGTTTGCTCGATTTTGAGGTTGGCAACTTTTATAGAACATATTTAAAATTGAAGAATATATTAAAATTATATCATAGCTTGGAGTGAACGAATATTAATTTGGAAATCAATTCAATTACTGGAAAAAAAAGCTTAAAAATAAAAGAAATTTAATAGATATTATTAAAACATTATTATACAAAATTAGGTGAGTAAATTGGGTCATCAAGAAACTGGACTCAATCGAGAGGACTATAAGTATTTACATAAATACGCATCTCTATTATTTTCTCATCTATGGTTCTTTTAAAGCAAAAAGTGGCCCATTTTTCAAGGCACTTAAAACAAACAAAGAAGTTCTTAATTAAATGCGTATCTACATATACACGCATGTGTATGTATGTATGTGTATGTGTGTATGTAAATAGATGTGTATGTTTACATGTGTGTTATATAAACAAACGATTATCCGGCCGACCCAGAAACATATTTGTGAAGCAATTACGAGCGTAAAAGTTCCCAAAAATAGTGCTAGCACAAAAACTCAACGAACGAAAATGAACGAACTGAACGAAATGAACAACAACAACAGGCTGTAAAAAAAGTTTTTGCTTAAGCAATGGAGCTGAAACAACAATGAGCATAAAGTACTGTTATGTATTACAGTGGGAACCCATATGCATGGAACATATGTATGCATATCTATATAAATATAATAGATAAACACATACATAGATGCATATGGATAGTACGCGTATATGACACGTGTAATTGACCTACTTTCCCTATTCGACGCAAGCAGCGCAACAAATACACAAGCATACAAACATACATACATACGCATGTACAAACATACACAAATAATTCCGTAGCTATGCGTAGGAAAAAAAACACGATACAGAAAGCGTGGCAGAGAGTGGGAGAGAGAGGAGAGAGCGACTCTATGTGAGTATAACAGCTGTGCGACATTGCAATACACTTGTGTGTGCAAGAGAGAATAGAGGAAGAAGCGCATTGATCAATGTTCTCGTCTATTGACATGTTAATAGCCGCAATTTGTTTTCATTTACCGATCTGAATTATGATGCTGCTGCACACACATACACTAACGCACACACGCACAAAATAGATAAATAGGTACATCAAATGAAAAGAAACAAAACTGAACCATGAAGAGAGAGAGAGAGTGCTTTAAAAGCTCGCTCTTTGCAGCTTCATGCTTGAGCGACAAATAGTTTTGTAGCCGACGACCTATTTATTGTGGCCAGCTGCCCAGTGTTGCCATACACTCAGCAGATACATAATGCGCAAAGCGTCAAAACACACGCCCCTTTAATATAAAACAAAGAACAATGTATGATTTTTGTTTTAATCAACTAAATATTGAAAGATATAACAACCAGCTGCTATATATGTATGTACATTTATACCACTTATCGGACAAACATATGCATGTAAGTATTGTGCGGTATCTGGCTGATAGTTTTGTTTGTTCTTTGTCGCGACAGATGATAAAGTCAATTAGCAGAAAACAAGCGCTCAAGTGCAAAACGTTGGCAACACTCAAAGAAGCGAGTAATTAATTAGCTTGCAGAGACAAACACACATATACACATGCACATACATGTATGTATGTATGCAGTCCTCCCTCTTTGTTTTTGTCTTCAGCTGGAAAGCACTTTTGTGCCGCTTTGGCTGATTTAATTGGCTGGCGACATTTGTGGTTTGCACTATTGGCAACACTTGAATACCCTTGAAAAACGATTTGCAGCAGCTGATAAATGATCCTGCCTCTCGCCAAAGGAAATATCGATTCCTTATTTCATTTTGTATGCATATTAACTGTTATAATCAAGTGTATTATAGGGTATGTCATCGTCGGCCTCGCAATGAGAGCTATGGCAGCGCACTTTTAATTAAGTTTACATAGCAGGCCAAAGTAGTAGCTGACAGCTACCTACTCGAGCACAGTCAGCAGGCCAATCGATGTGGCATTCTTAGGACTATTTTGCGCTGCTGATGTAATCATTTATTGCCTGCCAAATTGTCTGGCAACAGCGGTCAGCTGTAAGTATATGTATGTATCTGCAAGATATTTACCCACTTAGTCACTGCCAAGTAGCTGTTGATTTTAGCACCGAAAATTTTGAAAGCAAACACTCATGAATATGTTTTCTCTTTTTCTCATTGTCTATGTGCGTGTGTGTGTGTGTGTTGGGGAATGAGGCACATTTTAGCTGCTTTACTTGCTACGTGACCGCAAATTGTTCTGTGCGACTGTCAGTCGTGCCTCTGATTTATTTCTGTACGTGCTTGAAGTCGAGCCAATCCGAATGACAAACACTCTACTGCATCACTCACACATACCAGGCCAATTTTCAACTTGCAGCTACCAAGCGAAGGAATCTGAGACACTCTCAAAAATCAATTAAAGAGTCGTGCGTAACGGTACTCTGATACCAATATCTGATAACAGGTGCCACAGAACCGGCTGGGTGTAGCCAAGAAACACCGATCATGGAAGAAGGTTCCTAGTAATCTATCCTCCTAGTTTGCTTTTAAAATTGCGGTAGATATAGGCTATTGTGAGTTTTTGGGGCGGGAGTGGGCATGTCTAAAAATATATATGTCGATCTTTTAAGGAGGTAACCAGTAAGTTATCCTCCACGTTGGTGATTCTATCTTTAAAATTGTCGGAGATATGCGGTCTTTTTTGGAGAATACGGGCGCAGGTGTGGGCGTGGCTTTTTTTTTATTGGTTACCAGTAATAAACCTAACAATTTTGACGGCCCTAATTGAAAAACTGCGGGAAAAAAATTTAAAATTTGTTGGTGCTTAGAGACTAGGTGCACCAGAGGTGGGCGTGGCATATGCCGATCTTTGAAGGAAATCGCCAACAAACTACCAACCAAGTTTAGTGACTGTAGCTTTAAAATTGTTGGAGATATGTGGCTTTATCGAATTGCGATTATCGATTTTATCGATTTCCTAGCAGTACCCTATTGGGTTCATACAGACGGACGGATAAACAGACAGCATTGCACAAAACCAATATAAACCAATGAAACCTGCGATATCAGAGTAAAAAGAGTCTATAAGTGCATTAGTTTCACGGAAATGAAAGTTTTCTTTTTCAAAATATGCTTTTAAAATATACTTTATAGGAATTTTGATGATAGTAAATATTAAAATATTATTGCATATTTGAATACAGAAATCGAAATGTAATTTTTCAGAATGTTTTCTGCATTTTATTTTCATATATTTGCATCACTACAGAATATTTAACGGCTTAATTCCAAAAGCTAAAAACTACTTACTAAAGAATGTAAACGTTGAGTGTACATATACATATCGTATATATATATATATATATATTCTAAGAATCATTTCGAATAACAGAAATGATATGATACTTAAAGAGACACTTAAAAAATCAATACAAGTACATATAAAATGAAATATGTATATGGAATACGCAAAAAAGTTAGGATCTCTAGAGGAATACAGATAAATTCAGCTAGCTTATTGTGCCCATTAACTAAAGATCTGGATATGATGGGCAGTATTAGGATAGTTACTCAACTTCATTCATTTAAAATAATATACAAATAGATGCGTGTAATTGAAATGCGCAGGACTAAGGAGAAACTAAACCACTTAAGTGCTACGCTTAGTATATCAATCTGATCTCTCGGGACTGGACATGGGATCGCCGCCAAAGGTGACCTCCTTGGACACATAGGAGTTTGGAGCCGCCATCGATTCCTCGCGGCGTCGCTTCTGCTCCCGCTGGGTGCCGAAGCGCTTGTTCCGCTTCATGTTCGTGAATCTCACATAGATCTTGCCCCGTCGCTCAGTGCGATAGAAGCACAGCTGCTCCTTGGGAAATAGCTGCAGAATCTCGCGCTCCAACAGATGACTCCGCTGCAGCGTCAAATGCAATCGATTGTCCTCGTAGTAGCTGCAGATGAGCTGAATGAGCAGCAGTCGCTGCACTGCATCCAGCGGCTCATTGTGCCCGAGACGCTCCAGCAGAGATTGCGCCTTCGCTGGTGAGGCATGCAGTATGGCGAGCACTGTGACGGCGCTCTCCTCACTGCCCGCCTCCGGTTCGCCCAACTCCGGCTTGATCAGATCCGCCGTGACGAGTTCCGTGTGCACCAGCTCGCTGTGATCACTCAGGGGCAGGGGCACATTGAATGACGACCCATCGCCAATCTCATTCAGCGAGACAAATGGCTCGGAGGGCAGCTGCTTGGAGGCATCGTCCAGCAAATCGGGCTTGGAGAGGCTTTTCGTGTGATGCGATTCTATGGCGGAGCAGCGGCAGCCGTTGCAGTGAACACTGTTGCTGTTGCCGCTGCACGAACGCTCCTCCCCCAGAGGATCATGCAGCGGCACATTCAGCCAGCGGCGCCACCGCTCCAAATGATGCTCGAACCGTATCCGTGTGCCATATCGAAAATTGCGCAGCAGATCGTTCAGATGATGACGCTTTAGCATCTGCAGCTCCTGCATGTTGATTGCCTCCTCTAAAAAGTGATGAGATAAAAGAGACCCGCTTAACACACAGTCAGAAGTTCAACAGAGAGAGAGAGAGAGAGTCAGTGAGAGAGAGAGTGAGAGAGAGAGTGTTGGGCTTGCTGCTTGCTTCTTAACGGTTTCCTCGCTCCTGATTTGTTATCGATCTCTTCCAATAATAATATTTAATCTAAATAAGTAACTATTTCAATAACTTGTGAATTTGTCCTTTATTTATAATTTCGTCGTAAATGTATTGAAGGATACATCTCCGATCCCATAAGGTTTATATATTCCTGATCAGCTAACCGAATCGATATGAGCATTTCCTTTTATCCGCGTGACTATCTGTCTATATGCAAAATAAGTCCCTCAATTTTGAAGCTATCTTGATGGAGCTTGGCTGCAGGCAGCAGTTACCGGTCGGGTCGGAGTACTATATCATATAGCTTTCATAGGAATGATCAATCAGAAAATGAGTTCTTGTATAATACAACTTTTTTGTTTACCAAGATATGCGAACTAAACTTACCCAATGAATATTATTATAAATATTATTGTAATCCCCACATTTGGATTGAAAATCATTCAGATCGGACTAGTATATCCTATAGCACCCACAGAAAAGCAAAACAAAATTTTTTGTTTACCAAGTTAGCTGAACCAATTTTATCGGATATGGTGGTTATATATGCTCGTAACACTATCAGCATTGGACTACTATATCAACTTGCTTTTTTTTTAAAGATTTATTTACAATTTAGTGGATGGCAATTTGAGTCCGGTCTACAAGACTATGCAGTCCTCAGATCGCTCTTCATTATTATTTTAATATTTAAATAACTAACACTTAGTCAGCCTCAAGTTCAGGTGTTAAGGTATTGAGGATATTGATTGATTATAAAGAATCTTTGAGATTTTGAGCACCTTATCTTTATGGTGTATTCAGCTCCAGATTGAAACATCTTAAAAACAAACCGCTGATTGTTCTATGTGATGAATGCTCTTGATTTGATTGATTCAAGAATCAATATCTATATATACATATGCATAATTATGTATTTAGGTATATATACATGTGTATATATATATATATATATGTATAGTTAGCAGTTTAATTCGGCTAACAAAAGTTTCATCCATCAGAATAAAATGTGATGATTCCGTTTTGTTTTGTTTGGTTCTGAGTTTTGTTTACCTTGCAAATATGGCAACAGCTCGCTGACGTTCCAAGACTTGAGCAGCTGAGCCAGCTCGTCGTATTCGCTGCTTTTTGGCAAATTGTCTACATACATCATTTTGTGTGCGCGTGTGTGTGTGTGTTTGCTTGCTTGTTATGTATGTACGTTTCATACGGGGCCTACAACCGGGCGTACATCCTTTCGTCACGAACGAAAAAGCGGCACTGAATTTTGCAACAGGCGCGAAGCGCGTACATAGCCTCTATATGCTCTATACCTGGGCTGGCACAAAACGCAACCAACACACACCAACACACACACACACATAGAGAGTCTAAATGTATGTATTTCGTCGTTGTTTGTATTCGACTGTGTACATAAATACATACATACATACATGCATACATAGTACAGTCATGCCATCGTTGTTTCATCGTTTCGTCTTTTCGTCGTTTCGTTGCTTGTTTCGTCGAACTCTGTTCGCGTTTTCGTAGTCGTTGCTCGTTGTCGTCTTCATCGCTTTTATGCCTCGACGTACTTACATACATACATACATACACTTACATACACACATGCATGCACACCAGTGACGTAGTTCAACAGGGTGCCCTGCTCAGTTTCACTGCACAACTATTTTCACAGTTGTTGAGCGGGATTTTTTTTCGGTTTGTAAAGTCATCATTCGAAGCAATTTAAAGTTTAGACAATTATCTTGGGTGAGTTGAAACACAAGTCTTATCAGTTAAATTAAAAGTTAAATGATAATTAAAATGAGTAACCCTCCAGATTCATATTAAGTTTAATAGTTGGAAATAAAATACAAATCTTCATAAGATTTTAGATTGCAGCAAAAACTCTGAAATCATATTATTGCTTAACAAAAAATAAAAAAACATTTATTAAAGATCAGCTTCTTGTATATAATGAAAAATACTTTGTTCATTTTTGCATCAGCATTTTAATTATGCTTATTACATGTGTTGTTCTAGTAATTCTGGCAAATCAGCTCTTTTGCTTGCACGACAAGCAGAACCCCTCGCAAAGATATCGCTGACTACGCAACTGGTTGCACGAATGTATGTAAGTATGTTTACATAATACTTCAACATGTGTTATGTATGTACATAATACGTACGTGCCTACATACATATACAATTACTGGCGACATATGCCCAAGTCCTGTTGTTGTTGTTGGTGTTATGTAAATATACATATGTATAAGCATATGCTATGTATTTATGTATGTAGGTATGTATTATGTTGATAAAAGCTGTTTAAATATTCGCACTAACCATTTGAAATGGAAGAAGAAAAACTAACTAAACACTAAAAGTGTTGCTTGAGCGCCCCACAAAAACTCCGGCAACGCTCGCCGTTTGCTGAGAGTTGTAAATTGGAAATTGATTGTTGTCCGATCGTCTCCAGCTCAAATGTGTAAAAGTTGAGTGAAACGATTCGAGCTGGCGGCGAGGCCAACAGCTAAACTATTATGCGCGTGTGTATTGTGTATTTTGTTTTTTTTTTTTTGTTTTTGAGGTGGGTGGGGTGGAGGGTGCGACCACCTTTCAGCGATGACTGCCCCCGCACTGTCTAATGCACACAATGCTGAATGCTGAATGCTGGCAACGCCTGCAGTTGTGCAGCTGGCCAAGCGTGGAGCGGGGACTAGTTCTTTCTTGCTCTCTCTCTCTCTGTCTCCCTCTCTCCCGCTGCCAACTTCATTGACGCAACTCAAAAATCAACTTGAAGACGTCGCTGGAGTTGGAGTTGGACTCGGAGTCGGAGCCGGTTGCTGTTGTAAAGTAGCCAAGCGCTACGCAGGTTCAATGACCTTCTTTTGTAAATGTTTTGCTTGCTGCTTCTTTTCTTTTTTTTTTTTTTTTTTTTTTTGTTTACTTAACCCGCTTTATTGTTGCTGTCGTTTTTCTTTTTGTTCTTTTTTGGGCTACGATGACGTTCCTCAGTTGCTTCACCCATGTCTTGTAAAATACCCTGTACCCACTTCAAATGGATAAAAGAAGAGTATCCTACAGTTGCCTTGATCACTAGCAGTAGCCAAAAATAATAATAAAAAATTAACTAAATTTCATATTCTTTTGCAACAAAATCGGAATAGTAATAACAATAGTAACAGAATTGAATAGCAACACACATACATACAATACATGCGTAAGGCCTTGATAACAGAGTATCTCCTAGTCAGGCTCTCTCGGCTAGCTCAGTCTTACTAGTATTTTGAGGCACTGTTCTTATGACAAAACACTGAACTCTTCGCTTGCTTGTTGTTGTTCAGTTGAAATGCTTTCATTATCTCACGCTAACGTGCTGCATATAGTAAATAGTTTGAGGGATGGGGATTGTGGGGGGAAGGTGAGGTAAACCTTCAAAGCTAAATGGAAAACCGAAGTGAGTCAGTCTAAAAATACGGATACGGATGCGCGACCTTCTTGTGTTTTTCCCCCTGTTGCCGTTTCAATTAACCGCTGTTTTTTGCTATTGATAAACCTTTTAAGCGACTAGGCGACTACCTGACGCGACTACCCTAATAGCGAGTACCTACTTTTTCGTCTTCTTCTTCTTCTTCTTCTGCTTCTTGTGCTACTTTTACTTAAATTTCCCTAACGCTAATGAGGTTCAGCGTTATGGAAATCTCATACTCGGTTTGGTTATTTTATTAATTAAATTTATATTTTTAGCAGGCACTGTCTTTGGTTACCAATTAAGTGCAAATTTTCTAATTGGCATCTAGATAGATCTATGGTGCATATATTTCCCTTTGTTCTACACAAAACTGCAATGAAATTCTTTAATAATACATCATATTTCTTTTATTAAAAATTATGTGTCTTTTTTTTAAAGAATTGATAACCGCAGTGCTTATAAAATGCAATCATTCCAACTAGCAAACTTGTCAAGTCATTTCGTCAACTGAAATATTCAACATTATCTACTTTAATACATCTATTGTTGTTCGCAAAAATACATATATAAATATACATATATAAATATATATGTATATTAATATGCATTTATATATAAACACTAATCGGGTAGACTTAATGGCGTTTATTTTTATTTCGAATTGCTCATGCGAAGATATTATTATTATTATAAATATTGAAGCTCTGTTCGAATATTTAAAAGTTATACAGCATACATGTATATCGGTTTAGGTACGCAGAAGACCATATATCCTTTGGTAGGCTGTCATCTACATTTTAATATAAATTATTATTATATGAGCTATAGTCCGATCTTAACGATTTGTAGTCCAATCGTGAGAAGTACAATAATAAGCATGTTGGGTAAGTCAGAGAGACACACGCTTATCAAGAATATATAGAAATAATGACGTCACTGCATCTGAATATCTTTGACAAATTATAATACCCTCTAGAAGGTTATCAGGGAAATACCAGGTGAGATAAGTCTGACATAGATTTAATGTATGTATCTGCATATGTATTTCTTTCTAAACTTAATAACAATTCAATTGAAAATCGTGGCACATGTCAGCTTATCTAGAATTGGGGTATTTGCTAGAAATTCCAAAGGAAAAAACACAATCCAAAATGGTTGGTAAAATTGTAGTTTACACTAAAAAAACCTTAAATAACTTAACGTAATGTGATTTTTACGATACATACAAATAGTTTTATGCAGATATGATATCATATTATCCTTATGCGATATGACACCACACAACCTGCCCGAGATCTGTTAATGAATTTCTGTTATGGATTCATGCTAATCAAATGCAACAATGCAACATGACTTAATAAGCTCGAATGGCTCAACTGATTCTGAATAGAAATGGTCATGAGTAATATGAAGTATCAACCCCAGCCAGCGGGAAAGGAGCGTTGCCAACTGGTTTCATCATCCACACAAAGACACGAAGATTATCGTAGATACTTTCCACCCCGTGGATACTTTTAATGTTTCTGTTGCGATTGCATTCCCGGGCTGATAAGACGCAATAGTTACAATATGGGCAAAGTTGTCGTGTCGCATGGAAATTCCTTCAGGTAGAAATATGGAAAACAAAGAAACTGCATACACACTGAAAATGCGACACACAAAAAAAAGAAGAAAAATAAAAGAAAAAGAATGTGAAAAGAACATGCGCAGTGGCAGGGCAAAATTGCCAGGGGTTCGCCACGGTCGAGGGTTGCAGCGGAACCCGAGTGGGGTGCGGAATGGGTAGGTTGAGGTTGTGGCAACCAGTAAGTAAACCAAATCAAAAAGTAAAGAGAATGAAGTCAAGAACTTTTGCGAGAATCGGTATCAAAGACCAACACTGCGGCTTGGCAACATGAAATGGAATTCCGCACAACTGATAAGCGCGCGGCTCCTAATCAAAATCATTGCGGAAACAAGCCTCAGTTTTGCTACACATGAAATAAATGTATGCTAGCTGGTCGAGAGAGACAGAGAGAGAGAGAGAGAGAGAGGAAACTGCTTGGTTGCGTATGTTGTGTGGCCCCTTGAGTAGAGTATTCGTTACATTATCAAAAAGACGCTAACTGCGCAGCTTTGTGTGTTTTTGCTTTTCCACAGCAGCAGCAGCAGCAGCAGCTGCGCAATTTTCATGCTGCTGGCAGCAGCAGCAGCAACGCAATTATTGCCACCAAGGCTGGCATTTGTTTGATAAAAACGGCACATGTCCAGTGGATGAGCCTGAAACGCTTTCGGCAACTTTGTCCAATAAGCAAGAAATGCCAATGCAGACATTTTCGGGTGGCTCAGCGAGCTTAAAAGCTGCGTGACGAAGAAGAAGAAGACAAAGACGACGACGACGACGACGGCGACGACGACACGGAGCATTGTGTGGAGCTCTGTTTGTCTCTCGTTGACCTACACTGGCTTCCCCTACAGCAGCAGCGAGCATACACATAAAGCCTCATTATATATACACACATATACACATATACGTGTATGTAAGACAACTGCATATAAAAGCACAGGCCAATACATATATACATATATATATATATATATATCTACACCTATATGGAACGCATTTTTGGTTGTAAACTGGATGGTCGCAGGCGAAAGGCAACAAAGTCAGCGCCACATTCGCCAATGATAATTCGCTGGCATTTGACGACGCGCATATTCCAACAGCTGGAAAACGGTCTGTGCTGGTGTTGGTGCTGGGTGTTAGTGTTGGCAAACAGCAACAGCAATCAGCCATTGGCTTTGCCTCAACTCTTTGGGGTCAGTCATCAAGTTTCTAGCAAGGCAAACGGTAAACGCTCAGCGCAAAAGTGTCAATGATTCCCATACGTTTATGCG